GTTTCAAGAGTTCTCAAGTCTAGTGGTGGAAGGTCAGAGTGTACAAAGCCAAAGCGAGAGTGAAGACCTTTGTCGACAGGTCCTCACTCAGACACATTGCCTCAGTCAACAAGCAGTTGGTAGTGTCGAGATCAGTTCGACCTCTGAGGGGCAAGAAGTGCACTTAAGTGACACTTCGGAGCAGGGTTGGGAGGGTGAGCCTCGGGGTGAAGGTGGAGACGATAGCAGTAGTGAAGCTTCTCTAGGTATGTCTCAGGGTTGGACTAACAGCAGCTTCATGGTAGGTGAAACTCGTGGGCACTTACCCATGGCTGACCAAGGCATGCCAAAGGGCTGCCACACTTATTCTCGTGCTGACGACGCGGTGCCCATCTATTACAAGACAATCGATGAAAAGAGTCAGCGTCCAAAGTTCCTTAGTCAGATATCATTTACGTTACAACTTTGTCCAGAACGCGCAAGCAGTCCAGAACGTTTCAAGAGTTCTCAAGTCTAGTGGTGGAAGGTCAGAGTGTACAAAGCCAAAGCGAGAGTGAAGACCTTTGTCGACAGGTCCTCACTCAGACACATTGCCTCAGTCAACAAGCAGTGGTAGTGTCGAGATCTACAGGTAGGTGAAACTCGTGGGCACTTACCCATGGCTGACCAAGGCATGCAAAGGGCTGCCACACTTATTCTCGTGCTGACGACGCGGTGCCCATTTATTACAAGACAATCGATGAAAAGAGTCAGCGTCCAAAGTTCCTTAGTCAGATATCATTTACGTTACAACTTTGTCCAGAACGCGCAAGCAGTCCAGTAGGCAGCAGCAGTAGCGAGAGCCTCGGGGGGTCCGACGGGTCAGACAGCGAGGGAGGGTTTGCTGACGAAGAAGATAATGCAGGTATTGGCAAAGTCACAATAACGAGCCCCGGGCCGAGCGCGCACTCGCCCAGATTCCGTGCAAGGCCGGCATTCCTCATTCCAAAGATTACCGTAACCGATCTTGATGCCGGAGCCCCGAGCGTGGCAGCCGACAACGCGCCGCCAAAAGACGGCAACACCGAACATTTCCTTGCTGTCTCCGACTCTCAGCAAAATGTCATCATTACGCGGCGCCAGAACACAATTGCTCAGAAGTTTTTCAAAGGTGATTTTAATGACGTGTATGCTGGTAGACAACGTAGTCCTTCGCCGTCCAAAGAGAGGAAAACCGTCTGTAGAGAAGGACCCGGCGCTGAAAATTCCGCTTCAGTTCTAGAACAAACCGATGCTCAAGACGCCCGTGACTCGCAGGATATAGAAACAGGTGTTCCCAGGGACCCGGAGGATGACGGCGGAGGGGGGTCGGAGGGGACGAGATCAGGGAGAATTTTGGAGTTCAATTTCACGGGTTCGGATGGTCGTAAGTGGACGCGGCCGTATATTCTAAAAATGAGGGGAGACGGGGAAACCGAAGAAGATGACGTCATTCCGCTAGTCAGCGACGTACCGGGAATTAAACCGGTCATTGTCTCGTTTTCCGAGGCTGGTGCATCTATATCGACCGGGTCTGAGAGTGTAATGTCACCTTCGTCGTCTACGTCACACCCACAATCGTCGCAAACGCTGTCGTCATTAAATGATTTATCAGTTTCTTCATCGTCATTAACTTCGTATTCTTCACAAACAAAATCATTGTCGCAATCAAATTTACAAACAGTTATGCAAAACGAAAAATCGTCAGCTACAAAATCACAATCATCTTTAACACAGTCACCATTATCATCGTCTTTACCTGCATCTTCATCTTCATCGTCGTCGTCAGCTGAAAGGCCTTCTTATTTACATTTACCGCATTCGTATCGGCCCACAGAATCCGGCCATTTACATTCCACTTCTAATTCACCATCAACCTCTGCTTCCTCGCCTTCCACACCTTCGAGTATCTCGCCGTCAGTCTCGCCACTCATATCACCATCGTCACCGCCGACCATAAGCATGTTACCCGACTTGTTACAAGACTGTTACCCCGTTTCGCCTTCCGACTTCTCCCCCGAGTCACATGACCTCAGCGAAGCCATTCCCGATTCCGCGGTTTGCGAATTCGTTTACGATCGGGTCGATGACGACGACTTCGAAAAATCAAAGCAAAAAGAATGCGAATCAGATTTGGAATTCGAGGATGGGTCTGACAGCGAGACATCATCGTCTATAGACTCTGGTACGATTATTACCGTCGTTCACAGGCCTACGTCGGGGCAAACCGAAATTCAGAATCCAAAATTAACTGAAGACGTCAGGATACGAACTTCTGACCCTAGTATAGGCGAGGAATATTTACGCGAAACACACGTACCGGCCGATGTGGTTTGGGACGAACGTAGCACTCTCGTGGGATTCACTTATATCGATGAAGACGAGGAACACACGCCGGGCGTAGCGAGTCACGAAAGAGGGGATTCAGGGTCGCTCGCAGGTGAACCCAAGACGCCCCTCAGCACCAGCCCAGACATCTGGCCTCGCGAACAGCTTCCCACTCGAGGGAACGACATAGGCGTTGACGAGAGTGCGATCAGAGACACGAACGTCGGCATGGACGCGTTGAGGGCGAGCTTAAACGAGATGGAAGTCAGGTGGTCAGCCGGGGAAAGGTTCCACGAGCTCACACTAAGTGCTCGACAGCAACAGCAAGACGAACTCATGTTCGTTGCCTGTGTTGCTCTCTCGGTGTATGCATTATTAGTCCTGTGTACGTAGTACAATGTACATGGATTGTTTTGAGCAACTTTTTTACGAATAGAGTAAAAGCTTCGAGGATAAAAGCTTTGACGCTGCTGTTGATGCTTTCCTATGACCAAGTACTACTGTTTATATCGCCCCACCTCATGCTACCATATGGCTCTAAGCTTCATTTTTTACATTAGAGTACAAATTACTCCGCTTTTTGGCCCATTGATGTACTATTTCTCTCTTTCCTGTAAACATGACTTCATTTGGTTTCATTACTTTTTCTTTTTTGTTTATTTTCAAGCTTCAGATCAACAGTGAGAGGTAAGAAGTGTGTAGAAACAAACGTAACAAGCACTGCAGTAGTCTGGACTGTGTAGGTTGTGTACATTTCCAGATCCCGCTGTTGTAGGATTTTTTTCTCTTTATTTTTGTTGCATTTATATTTATATTTATGTGTGTAAATAACCACCTTCGACAATTAAAGGGTCTAATCTAATGTCCCTGTGTGATATGAATAATGTGAATGCATGAAGCCTTTACTAAATATTCTAATAGATTTTGAGTGATTTTTTAATGCATTTTACTGGTGATTTCATTTGCCTTGTGTGCTTTTTAGTTGAAAAAAGGTTGAAAGTATTTAAAATGCATTTTTACTTAACCCTCCCCCATCAGATGTGCACTGAAATTTATCTAGTCATCTTCCCTCCAAAGAGATTTTCAGAAATTGTATTTATTAGATTTAAAAAATATATATATATATATGAGCTGAGGTCCGTCTGCCTTGCTGGAGTATATTCTTAGAGGTGGAATGATTAACTTATGGACAGAATGTTTTGGTGTTTTGATGTTCTTTTTCTCTCTTACTATTTTTCTAGCTCGTCTCTTCTTCTTTTTCTCTCTTTTTTGCCTTAGTGCCCACCCATGTATAAAAGTGGAGTTTACATGCTAGCAGAGAAGCCCGTAGATAGATTGCGTTCAAAGTTGTTAGCATGCTTCAATATTTTTCCCTTTTTGCCGAGTGTCACCAGTGCAGATGATATATGCATATACTGGGCACACACACACACACACACACACACACACACACACACACACACACACACACACACACACACACACACACACACACATTTACACATATATATAGTATACATATATACACACATACATATATATATATATATATATATATATATATATATATATATATATATATATATTATACACACACTTACAAATGTATATAGTATACATATATACACACACATACAAATGTATATACATGTATACATATATATACACATATACACACAGATATACATATATGTACACACATGTATATATGCTCGTATATATACACATTATTCATACATTCATATATACTCACACACACACACACACACACACACACATATACATGTGTGTATTTATGTATATGCATATATGAAGTTACTGCGCTGTATTTGAGGTGTGGCGTTGTGCCCTGTAGTGAATGTAGATAATCTTAACTGCTTAGGATATTAATTAATATGTATAATGTTACTGGTGTTAGTTGCTACACGTCTTCTAGTATGAACACGAGTTGCTTATAATTCACTCAAAGCTTTTTAGTGTGTCTGCACATGACAAACAGAAGAGAGAGAAGCTTAACGTTAAATTGATTATTTTTTCTCACCTATTTAACGACAGTATATATATAAAAAAAAAATGTCCTAAGTTTGGCACATTCAGGCTTCTAGATTTCCATTCTGATCTTCGCCTCCGTTCCTCAGAGATGTCGATATTTCGTTTTATAAAATTGTAATGCATTTTTTTTTTCTTTTTTCTTTCTTTCATCGAGCATGACGCTGGAACATTCTGACCGATTTAGAATTCTTCGCGAGGTCTCTTGGTTAAGGTGACGGGCTTCGGTGCGATTATTGTGTCCTTTAAACTGTTCATGAGATGACTGGAGGTTTCAGCCTGCCGATCCTTGTCACAAACAGCTGTTTATTATCCTTTTTTCCCTAGTGAAGACATAGAGGGGATAAAATTATATATAATATCCTTCCATTCAGATCCTGTGGATATTTTCCCCCTCCCCCCCAGTGTAGTTTTATTTTATTAACATTTGCCGTCTCTTTTAACACATCCTCCATCCTGCCGATTTTATCCCGCCTCATTCCCTCCATGTACAGTAATATCCCTATAAGCCAGCAGCAGCCTGTCCGTCCTACCCCCCTCCCCCCTCCCCCTCCTCTTACCTCCATTGCCTCTCCATGGAGCTTGCTGAAAGAGGGCCAGGTTGTAGTGGCATGTTTGTGTTGTAGATGTGGCCCTGGTTAACGAGTGGTTGAAGGAGAACTTCCCGGATCAGCGAAGGCCAGGTGGCTCCCGGCCAGGTGGGTATCGAAGCGCCACCTGACACTGTATGACACACCCGACACCGTATGACACAAACACAACAGCGCTCACACTCAGTACATGCACGGTCATTCATAATACGATGCACATTCACAGTTACACTATTTCGCACGTGTTCACTAAAATGTACATGAGTCACAACTATATACACGACAAAGACAGTGAACAAACAGGCACATTCTCTAACAAACAAATATACAGTTTAACATATAAAACATTTCACTTGTTCATTACTGTTTTGTTTCAACCATCCAGCATGCCAAAGTTATAAATGTGTGAATCTTTACATAAAACTAAATATTATAGTATTTATATTTAACTTCTGTGTACAGTTTTACAAATATCTTATTATCCTTTTTTATATAAAACACCCTTCCTGTAGAAATTGTATCATAAAAAAAATCTGACTTTTGTAAAGAAAACCATTTAAATCCCTCGTCTGTGGGAATTGCATCAATAAAAATGAAAGAATTTTGTAAAGAAAACCATTGAACTTTCTCGGCCTAACTTCTGGACTTCTTTGTATTGCTTTTTGCTTCTTGCATTTAACTCAGGCGGCCTAAAACAGTGAATAACACCACTCAAATCAGCTTACTAATGAGTGACAGTAGAGATTTCGCCGGCGACAAGGCATGATAAAAGACCCTATTTAATTGCCACGATTTCCAATGTTCGTAATGAAAGAAATATACATGTAAACAGCACAGCGCCACTTCCCTTTGTGTCTGCCAAGTGCCTTAAGCCAACACCCTCTCGCCGAGGTCGGTGTGTGATCTGCCAAGGTGGGAAAACGTCAGCACAGTATTTCCAGGAAGAGAAGACCGAGATAAGCAACCACGAGTTATATTGGGATGAGAAAAAAAAAGGAACGAAGGAGGGAAGGGGAAGAGAAGTAGAGGGAAATCTTGTCATATAATTCGTAACTTTTTAAAAGGATGCGATGATGAAAACCGTCTGGGATTTTAGCTGTGGTGAATGAACTCACAACAACAGGCGGTTAGATACTGGAGATCATGGAGAGTTTACTTACTCTTTTCCTTAATTGATTGATCACAACCTCGTTATCCTCGTCGCTGTCACTGACATGCTAGTTCCCTTTCTTCATCTCGTTCCCAATCCCTCTGTTCGAAACCGGCTGTCTAATCGCGTTCTCAAATCAGCGTGTAAAGTATGCGTGAGGGAGACCACAAACAGGACGCTTTTGCAGACAGCTTAAGTAGGTTAGTGGGTTGTCTGTCTGCATGCTGAAAGGGCGATGGCAGCAGACAAGCTCGTCATTGGTTGTCATTTCCGTTGTCATTTCTGTTGTCTTCAGTTGTTCTTCGTTCAGGTTTTCGGCGGTTTTCATTTCTTTAAAGGTTTGCTTTTTTTCTCTCTCTTTTTTTCTTTTTTTCTTATAGTGTTTCCATCTTCAGTGTTCGTTCTTTATTCTGGAATGTTTTACGCCTCGTTATCACAATTGTCATTTAATTTTTATTGCGCCAGTTTTCTTGTTCTTGTTTATTAGTTCTAAGTGCTTTTGTTATGCGCAAAAAAAACGATAATTAGATTATTTACATTCGATACTCAATTCTTTGACACTTAATTAACAGTTTTTATTACGATTTTTTTTTCTTGATAAAAAAACAGGAAAATATAAATATCATCTGATAATACATTCAGTTGGTGACCTGTATCTGTACATGTCAACGCGGACACTATTAAGATCGCAGCTCCTTTAGGTCACAGAATGTCGCGATGTATGCCACACACCTGGTCGTGCGTGCGTCACAGGTCCTCTGGGGGTCGCGTCTCCGGGTATTTCTCTCATCTGTTAGACATTATTTTGAGCAAACCTCATAGTTATTGCGAAGCGAACTCATTATAACCACATAAATACGTAGCGCAAGTTGCCCTAAGCTTTTATTAACCGCTGCAATAATAAGTTTCACCTCATGACAAAGGGACCGACTTCCGAGAACTGCTGGCAAATATTCTTAAAGATCATGGCACGGTGCCATCCATTGCCTATATCGCAGCTGTCGCCCGTACTCACCAATTGTCCAAGGCGGGGATTTGGGCGCGCGGATTGCGAGATGGCAAAAATTCCCAATTAGCACGGATTTGTGGCCGACTTCCGGGTGGGTGAGGTTAGATACGCCAGCGATGGCTGAGCAGCTCAAAGGGGCTTTAAAGCGTATTGTTTTTATTTCGAACCATTACAGGTGGATGAGAGTATTTGCCAAAGGCTGCGGGTTGAAGAGAAAAACATACATTTTTTTTCTGCGGGATTGAAAATTCGTTCAGTTTAAGGCTCGACAGTCGAGATAAAGGTCTTAGGGCTATCGCTAAGGTACTCGTGGCTCCGGCGAAAAAAATGCGGTCATGGCCGACACAGAATTAACTTCGAAGAAAAGGTATGGTGACCCATAGTGGATGACAGGGTTCCCAGATGTCCAGGTGGCACAGATCCCCTCAACCATGTCAAGAGCGGGGAACCCCATAGCAGGGTACTTCCTGAGACACCAGCTATATCTTGGGCGACGTGCAGCACGAGCCATCAGTTGAGGCCAACAGCACCTCGTGAACGGACAATCACCCGCTAACGACACTTGAGTACCGAGGACTCTGGTTGTACCCGTCGCCATTCTTGGATTTCCGTTGGGCGTTCGGCGTTTTGGAGACGAGAAAGAACATCGCGATTTCTCATCAAGATGGCTTGTGTGGTTGCTTATCCGGGTAACTGGCCTCAGGTTTATTTTATTGATAGTCACTGAAAAGGAGGGAAACAGATTTTAAAGCTTCTTGAAGAAAGAACAAAAATAATTTCATATGGCAGTAAACGATCACATGCAGATGCTCGGCGAGGAAATTATTGGAAGGCATGATGGTGTTCGTTCCCTTTTTTTAATTTTTTGTTATTGGTGAAATCAAATATATGGTAATTCTGGACTAATGTGATCCCTTTAACAGGAGACTCCAAGACTTCTTCCACTGTGTCACCCTTCGGCGTGTCCCGCACCTCCAATACAGAATCTCGAAGCTCCAGCCAAGGTATGTTAGTCACTCCTCACTAATTACATGTACGGGATCCGCATCCTTGTTGCATAGTTACTGTATGACTTGAAGTTGTCATGTGCTCTCAAAATGGATTGCACAAACACAGATACACTTTCATTTGATGCGGCCATTGATAATATGTATTTGGGTTGAATAACTGGTTAATATATATATATATATATATATATATATATATATATATATATATATATATATATATAGCTTTACAATAATGTTAGGGGAATGACCGCAAAAGAAAATCAGTACCCATTTGTCAGTTCAAGACAAAATAATTAACATTAATTAATAGCTTATTATTCTTCACTATTTTCACCCAATATGACATATTCGCTCAGATATACCCTCATATATAACAAAGAGCACAAACATACAGATTTCATTTTAATTTTATTTTACTGTTATATCATGGAAAGGGTTGCTAATAACTGATTTATGAAGTAACAGAAGAAATGAGAGAGAAGCAAAAATATTTTTGTTATTATTTTTGGCTGAATGATTTTAGCATAATACCACAATGTTATAAGATCTAAGTGTAAAAATATGTTCATTCTTCATTCTTCTTCATAATCCTTTTCTTTTTCAGTCAATGTCCAAAAGAGTTCCTATTCCTCATCCAGCTCCTCCTATAAGACTTCCTCCTCCATGAGCAAAGGTACGTCTTGGCAAAGGTGTTTCAGGAGGGAACTTATTTTTTTTATCTGGCTTTATATTTTTTTGGAGAAAGTGACGGAAAAGGAGAAATGGAGGAGTGAACTTCATTTGAATCAGTATACAGAAAACCTTGTTAGCTAAGAAGTAGTAGTGGTATTGATTAATATTGCCTTAAAATTGAAAGTAAATCAGTGCATTTGTTATTAGACTATGCTATTATATTATTTTTGTTTTTCAGTTGACAGCAAAAAGGTTGTGTCCCCATTTGACAAGTTCAAGCAAATGGACTCGCAGACCCCCCGCACACCAAAGTAAGTCCCTGTTAAGAACTGGAGGTTTATTCCAAGAAATGTACATTCTTCAGTCCATAGTATCATTAGCAGCATTATGTCTTCAAAGCACTATTAGCAGGGATCTATTCCTATTTGAAAATAATGCTTTGAATTCATTTTGCTGATGATATTGATATGGTAAAGGGTTCAGACGTGGATAGAATATGGATGAAATTATGTTTGCTGAAGAAATAAAAGTACCTAAGTGGTTCGATATTCTTAAAGAAAAACTGCAAATGTCATTTCATCCATCTTTATGTTTCTTGTTGTCATTAGGTGGAATAGACTTGGGGCAGAAATAGACATTGCTTGAATTTTTTTGCTTTCAGGGTCACAGTACAGGGTGGTTATTGTATATACTGTCATGTATAATATCTATTTTTTTCTTCAAGATGATTTCAGGTTAAAACTAGTTCAATTGCTTAATCGTAGAAATGTCTCCTGTGCTTGGTGTACCAGCCTGTTTAGACAGGATAGGTAGTTCTTGGAGAGGACAAAGGACAGTCTCCAACACATGTTAAGAGTGCTTTGTGCCATTCATTGTATAAACAGAGCTTTTGGCTATAAAAGTTTGATTATGTTGTACTGCAGAACTTGATAATGTAATGTTAAAGATATGCATCGTAATAAAGTCTAACTAAACTCCAAGTGATTATCAGACTCTGCTTTACTACATTAATCAAATTGAATGATATGTGCATTGTTACTCTGGGGATATTTTGCTTAAAAGTAGTCTTCAACATTATTACACACTTCCTTGAAGATTTTTTACAGGGTATACATTAGAGCATATTTATGTTTTTATATCTTGTTGTATTTCTACCCATTTATTGAGTATATTGTTTCCTCTTCATATCTCTGTCTTCTCTGCCTGGTTCAGGCTCTCCCACACCCTGTATTTGGCCAGGGCATACCTGTGGTGCTTGTGGTGTCACCCTCCCACGTCTACAATCCCCTGTGCTTACCATACACACCTATAGGTTTTCTCCCTAGATAATACAACTGATCATTGGTTCCTTCTAAATCAATGGTTAAAGATTTCTTGGGACAACATCTAACTCCTCCTGTGTTTCCCCAGTCCCTTCTCCTTGGCCCTGCCAATTATCAGACACAATGCTGCCACAATCAAAAAAATCATCCTAGACTTCTGTAAGAGATCCACAGCAGAGTACGAGAGTAAGGTAGAGTTGGATCACAAGGTTCCCAGTGTTCTCTTAGATAGAACATCGCCGCTCTCAGCTGTCCCTCCACTGTTGGTGTTTGGAAAGATTTTGTTGAAGTGGATGGACTATGTAGCATACTGATTGGTTATGCCTTCTAACCACTCTTACGATAGTGAAATGAGTATGCTCCATCTGCCATCTGACTGTTCATACACAGGCTTCCCAAACACGACTTCTATAACTTGGTGTGGTTTGCTCTCGATATCTCTTTTTCCAGCTCTGTGATTAGCTAGAGTGGCATCCCCCTTAGAACAGAATGATTACATTAGAGTCCAGCTGCTTCCCACTGCTTTCCTTGCCCCTTAGAGCACACACAGACACACACAGTCTGCATAAAATGTACTATCTCGTACAATGAATACAGAACTGTTGACTAATAGTACACCATGAATGGACAGATAATTTATTTATTTATTTTTTTAGATAGAGCCCTAATAATTGTGATTTATGTTTATAGTATATCTTCACTGTATTTATGTATCTATTTGGTTAGATACTGTTTGATTGTCTTCCTTATACTTTTGAATAATGTTTGAAAAATGTGATAGGGTATGTTTATAGTCAATGTGTAGATCTAGTTTGTGTTTGTAATATACGTCTGCGTATATAGTGCTGATATATGTGGGTTGAGATATTTTTGTGTGTTTTATGGTTTAAAGAATATTTTGCTTTTGTGTCATGAAAAATCTGCTATTCTTTGTGTTTTTTGTTCAGAGTTCTTCGCTTTTCTGTCGTTTGTGTGTGTGCAAGTGATCCTTGTTCAACTTTCCTCTATTAACAAAAAAATAACAATAGATCTTAGCCTCCCTTAGAGAAAAAGTGTAACTACAGTATAGAGCAGAACTGCTGCATGATTTGTGTAGCACGAGGCACTAACCAAAAGGGTGTCTGCTGGCTGCTCTCTACTGCTGGTGCTGCTACTGCCTGCTGGTCAATGCTGCTTCACGGCCTCTTCCTCCTTCTACAGCTCTAAGTCGAAGTCTGCGGGTGGTGGCCCACTTTTCCAATTATCCAGTCAACTTGGTCGCAGCGCCTCAGGGGTGAAGGATATGCTGCTGACGTGGTGCCAGTGCCGCACCCGCGACTATAAGGTACACAGGGCCTCCATGGGGCTTCATGCATGTAGCCCCAAGACACAAAGTAACACTGCACCATGCAACAAGACGGCAGAAACACTATATTGTCCCATTCCACTTTCAGACAGTGGTAACAACAGTTTTCATGTTCTAGGATATTTTCAAATTTCATTTCTCAAGTAAAAGAGCAAAAATGATTTTCAGAGAATAACAAAATTCTATTGATATTCAAAATTCCAAAGAGATTAATGATTTTTTTTTTTCCTTATAGTTTCCTGAAAGCTTCATGTAGACATATTTAAATTTATACCCAGTTATGCTCCATAAAAAAAAAAAAAAAAAAAAAAAAAAAAATAGAATAAATAAATAAAATCAGAACCACAATTGGTGCAATGAGTGGCAAGATTATGGCCCTGGTCTTTGCCAGCTGAACACAATTCAGTAGCAATAAAACTAATAACCTGAAAGAATTTTTATCCAATTTCCATTATAGATGAAGAGAAAATGTTGACACGACAGATTTGGACGAAGGATGGGGAGAATGTTGGGAGAAATTTCAACATTGTCCTGTACATAATACAGCTAGTTTTATTTTTCTGTAATTGTTTGCAAATAGAGTTAGAACCTTTGATCTTTAGGTTCTTTTACACTCTTCGATCCTTGATTATTAGTATACATGTAGGGGCAGTAGTGTGTGCTTATTTGTAGTGTTTTTTTTTTTATTGTAGTTTATGCATGACAACACTTAGAGCAAGTTAATGACATGGAATCATAGTTACCAACTTTTTATTTTTTTTATTTTTTTATTTTTATTTTATTTTTTTTTTTTAATCTTTACAGATGTTTTTTTGTTTTTTTTTCCACCTCTAACATAAATAGTAAAGTGCAAATTATACTATATACTCATATATAATATAATTACTTGGAATGATTTTCATAACAAGAAGTAAGTTTTTTCAGAAAGGCCAAACTTATCCATTCTGCTATATTTAAGTTTCTTAAGATTTCTGTCCTACAATATTTCTACACACATGATGCTTAAAACCTTACCTATTAATGCAGCA